AACTGCAACAGAGAATCTATTGCTTTCCAGGGCCCCTCTTATACACAGTTTAATAGTTTGGGGTTTGGGGTTTTTTTTATTAATAAAGATATGTAGACAGTCTACTTCTCTACAGAACTATTCACAACATAAGGTAATCACAGAGTTTAATTCAGAGACTGAACCTGAATGATAAGGGAAAAGGAAAAGATGGCTGTACAGGCTAAGTATTGCCATTCCTATTCAGGCTTTATTTCTATCTAGAATGGACAGAGATACCATATATTGCGGAGGAAATGGGGGTGGGAGGAGAGGGATTAGATACTCAAATAAGTCCTAAGTAAATAAGGAAATGGAAAATCAGGAGTTGGAGTCATCTGGGATTAGAGAAGCTGCTTCAATGTGGGAACAAAGATATCACAAAAGAGACAGAGTTGGAGAAAGGAGAGGTAATTTCTTATATGAAATTTTGAACAAATGAAACTTAGTGGTCTTGGACAAGTTATAATACCTTTCCTTAGACAGGTGGGCCTTAGAGCCTCATCTATAAACTTTAAAGTGCTATATAAATGCTATTATTATTACAACTATTACTATTGTTATTATTATTGTTATTATCATATATCCTTGAGCCCCAAAATGGGACAATGTATCTCATGATATATTCATGGACAGAGAGGAGAGAAAGGCTGACTGTATAATAGCATCATTATTGTGAGTTTCAGAACTCATTGAATAACTGGACCCAAAGAATCGAAATGAATAGATCAATGACTGTCTTCAGGAAGATCTCTAGTAAAATGCCTCAGGAGATCTGCCCTTGGCCCAGTGTAAATTAGCATTTTTTTAAAATATAAATTTATTTTAGTTTTCAACATTTACTTCCACAAGATTTTGATTTCCAAATTTTCACCCCATCTCACCCCTCCCCCCACCCCAATATGGCATGCATTCTGAATACCCCTTCCCCTAGTCTGCCCTCTCTTCTATCTCCCTCCCCTTCCCCTTCTAGTAAATCAGCATTTTAATCTATTGAATAGATGAAGATTACACAACTTGCTTATCAAATTTGCAGAGAACATGATACAGAATAGCATGGTAAGTGGCAGAATCAGTACCAAAATGTCCTTGGCAGGCTCAAATTATAGGTTGAATCTAATAGGATAGAGTTTGGTAGGAATAAATGTACCATATATGTTTTCAAAACTGTCAGCTGTATAAGTACAAGATGATAGAGATAGAGCCAGTTAGTAGTTAAAATGATATGGAAGGTTTGGTGGACCGCAAGCTCAGTACAAATCAACAACTCATAGCAGCCAATATATAGCATCTCTCTCTGTCTCTCTCTGTCTCTCTCTGTCTCTCTCTCTCTCTCTCTCACACACACTCACACACACACACACACACACACACACACACACACACACACACAACCTAAAGTGATTTTAAGAAGGGTAGGATTGCTGCTTAGTAGGGAGGAGATAATGATAATGGACAATGAATGACGAGAAGGCAGAACTGTTGAATCCTTATTTTATTTGTTTTCTTTCTCAAGAAGAATGATCTTCAAAATCTATCCTGCCCACAGGAAAACAGAAGGAGAAGAAGATAAGAGAAGGGGGTGAGAGACAAAAGGGAAGGCACACTAGGGGAAGAGGTATTCAGAATGCATACCATCTTGGGGTGGAGGAAGGGGCGAGATGGGGTAAAAATTTGGAACTCAAAATCTTGTGGAAGTGAATGTTGAAAACTAAAACTAAATAAAATCTGATAAAAAAAAGAAGAAGAAGAAGAATGATCTTTGGACTAGGAAGGACAAAATATAAATGGCTAAGTAGAAAGATAGTAAGTGAGTACTTAACTGCCTTTGATGAATCAAATCAACAGATCCAGGTGAACTCCATACAAGGGTACTTCAAAATCTGATGAATGTGATTGCTGAACTACGATCTATATCTTTGAATGATTGTGGATGATAGAAGTGGTACCATGGGTTAAGAAAAGAGAAAATGTACCAATTTAAGAAAAAAAGAGGGGGCGGAGGAATGAAATCCACAAAACTGCAGGCCAATGGAATGTAATCTTGATACCTGGCAAAACTATAGAGTATATTATTAAAGGAATACTTGGTGAACCTCTTGAAAAGGAAGTAGAGATCATGAAAAACCAGCACCACTTAATCAAGAACAGTTATGCCACTTTTAGTTCATTTAATTTTTTGAAAGGGTTACTAGACAGGTAGAACACAGCAATGTTATAGTTACATTAAACTAGTTTTTAGCAAAATACTTGACAACGTCTCCCATGCTACACATGTGGAAAAAGAGAGATGGCTAGTCACAAACTTTGGTGGGTTTAGAACTAGTAGGCTCAAAGGACACGCATTAATGATTCAATAACAACTTGGAAGAAGGTCTCTAGTTGAGTAGGCCGTGGATCTATGTTTGGCCCTGAGCTACTTAACATTTTTTTCTTTTTTTCTTTTTGTTTTGTTTTTGCTGAGGGCAGTTGGGGTTAAGTGACTTGCCCAGGGTCACACAGCTAGTAAGTGTTATGTGTCTGAGGCCGGACTCGAACTCAGATCCTCCTGACTCCAGGGCCAGTGCTCTATCCACTGCGTCACCTAGTTGCCCCTTAACATTTTTTTTTCAATGAATTGGGATAAAGGCATAAATGGCATGCTTATCAAATTTTCAGATAACAAAAAGCCAAGAAAGATAACAGAGTCAAGATCCAAAAAGATCAGGGCAGCTAGGCAGCACAGTGGATAGAGCACTGGCCCTGGATTCAGGAGGACCTGAGTTCAAATCCGGCCTCAGACACATAACACTTACTACCTGTGTGACCTTGGACAAGTCACTTAACCCCATTGCCTAGCCAAAAAAAAAAAGATCAAAAAGACCTTGACAAGATAGAAAATTGGGCTGAAAATCTACTAAGATGAAATTTAATAGGGATAAATGGCTTCAAAAAAATCAACTTGACAAGTGCAAAATGAGTGAGACACAACTAGAAAAAAGTTCATCTGAAAACAATCCAGACCAGATGTTTTAAGTTTTAATGTGTTGCAAGTTCAGTATGAATCAACAGAGTAACATGGGAAGAAAGAATGCTAACGCTACAGGCCATATTAAGAGAGGCATTGTGTTCAGGATTAGAGATGTTATAGTTGCCTTTTCTAGATCACACCAGGACTATTGCTTGTTATTCCACATCTTTAAGAAGGACACTGGTAAACTAGAGAACATCCAGAAGCAAAGAGGTTGGTGAAGGGTCTCAAGATTGTACCATATGAACTAGTTGAAGGAAATTGAGATATTGAGCCTCAAGAAGACTTGCTAGGACCCTTTTTAGTTATTTGAAAGGCTGTGATGTGGAAGACAGATCAGACAGATCAGACTAGTTCTGCTTGGCCCCAGAGGCCCAAGTGACCTTGGGCATGTCACTGAATTTGCTGAGCCTCAGGTTCCTCATCTGTAAAATAAAGGAGATTGGACTAGGTAGTCTCTGAATCTCTTTTCAGCTCTAGACCTATGATATTTTCATCTAAATGGCCCCTGAAACTCCTTCCAAATCTGAGTCTGTAAAATGGAAGACCAAAGAAGTTAAATGACTAGGGCAGAGCTAGGAGCAGTGGTAGAAATTGCAGGAGACAACTTTAAATTTTGGGCAGCTAGATGGTGCAGTGGATAAAGCACCAGACCTGGAGTCTGGAAGACTCATCTTCCTGAGTTCAAATCCAGCCTCAGACACTTACTAGCTGTGTGACCCTGGACAAATCACTTAACCCTGTTTGCCTCAGTTTCTTCATCTGTAAAATGATCTGGAGAAGAAAATGGCAAACCACTTCAGTATCTTTGCCAAGAAAACCCCAAATAGGGTCACAAGGAGTTGGACACAACTAAAACAAATGAACAACAAAAACTTAGATTTGAGGTAAGGAATGATTTCCTAACAATTAGAGCTATCCACAATGGAATGTGCTGCCCCAGGAAGTTAAATGACTATCTAAATATCTAAATTCACAAATATCAAATTCACAAAGTTAATCAGAAGAAGAGTTTGGATTAAAATCTACATCATCTGTATCCCAGCCCAGTACATTTTCCATTATACCATGCTGCCTTAGTTTCAAAGGCAAAGATAAGCCAGTAACTGAACCTAGAATCTTCTGATTTACAGCCAAGATCTTCATCCATATGGTATCACTAGCTGTTCCCTCATCTAACTGTTGATTGACTCTAGAAATCAACTGTAATTCGGAAGATTTAAAAAAACAAAACATAAAAAATCTGGAGTCTGACTTAAAAGCCCTACCTAATCTAAGCCCTTTCTTCTTTTCCAGTCATCTTATACTTGATGTAAATATTGCCATATATTTCCATGTATTCTCTGATTCAGTGACACTGGCCTCCTTGCTTTTCATTGCTCAAGACACTTCATCCACTTCATTCATGCCTTTGCACTGACTGTACCTCATGCCTTGAATGCTCTCCCTCCTTCTTTCTGCCTCTTGTCTTCCCTGGCAACCTTTAAGTCTCAACTAAAACACCACCTTTAGCAAGAAGTCCCTCTCAATGCTTGTGCCTTCCCTCTGAGATTGTTTTCCTTTTACCAGAAATGTTATCTTGAACACACATAGTTATTTGCATGTTGTCTTCCTTATTAGAATGTGAGTTCCTCAAGGTAAGACAATATTTTTACTTTTCTTTATATTCCCAGCACCTAGCATGGTGACTGGCACATAGTAGGTGCTTAATAAAGGCTTATTGATTTAACTTGACTAAATCTTCTCATTCCAAATCTAATGTTCAGTCCATTTCACCCAAATGATTATCAAAACACTTCTTTTAAATGTATAAGTTCAGGTGGACAAAAATTTTAAATGTTTTTTTAAAAGCTACATAAAGGGCAAAACATAATACTTTTAAAAAAAGATGCCTCAAAAAAATTTCTAAATAGAAAAAGAAATGCCTCTTGATGTTTCCTATGGTGATCTCTAAGAACTCCATGAAACTTACTATTAGATGCTCTCATCTGCTGTCTGCGTCCAACTCTGTCCAACCCAATGGGTGTGCTTTGGGAAAATGTGAATGGACGGAACCGGGCAGAAACAGCTTTATATGGTGGCACTTGATGAGCTGGAACTGGGGGTCTCGCTACTGGCTACAAGAAGAAAATGAAAGGTTGTTATTAGTAATGATCAAAGATTCCCGGAAGTTATAGTTCTTGTAATCTTTTTCACACAACATGGCCAAGATCAAGGTTCTCACCCTGAAGCTGATTACAGATTTCAAACAACCTCTACCAAATGGTGTCAAAAACCTCAGCTTGCACTGAGTCTCAGTAGCACTTTAAAAGTCTCACTACTTCTTCTGTTGTTCACAGTCTACTTTTGCCTACATTCCATCATCTTTCAAACATGAATACAGCCTATGCCATTTGTCAATTGTAGATAATACCAAGCCAAAGCACTATAGAGAAGAACAGAAGTCCATGGAGGAAGCTTGTAGATTTCTTAAGATGTTTCTCCAGATTAATGTAGCATCGGAAGTTAAGATATCTTTGGAAGAAGAACCTTCTCACCGTCCTATCCCCCACCTGAAAAGCTTCTTCTACTATCTGGAAGGCAGTCTGATTTATATCATGTCTCCTCTTCCACATAAACTAAGTCTGCTGACATGAAAGCAAGTAGGGGCAGCTAGGTGGTGCAGTGGATAGAACACTGGCACTGAAGTCAGGAGGACCTGAGTTCAAATCTGGCCTCAGACCAAACACCTGACACTAGTTGTGTGACCCCAGACAAGTCATTTAACCCCAACTGCCTTAAAAAAAAGAGAGCAAGTAATTGGGATTTGTCTTTTCTAAATTTACACCAATTAAATCATTTCTTAGAGTGGCCATTTCCTCCCTGTAAACTAGATCTGCCATATTTAATTTGATTTTAAAATACATACTAAATTAAGGCAGGTGTATAGCTTTTCCTCTTTTTTTTTGCTTCCCAATTTCCTAAATTGGGCAAATTCAAAGAAAATTTTAAAATAAACTAATTCCCCCAATACTGAGCACCCTGATAAACTCTCTCTCATATATATACATATATATATATACACACACTTATATATGTACACACATGTATATGTATACACACATACACATATGTATATACACAGACATACATATACATGTATATGTATATATTTAAAGTAGGCTTAGCTTCCAATCATTTAATATTCCATCAAGCGTACAAAATTTTTTCTAAATGAGTATCATCTTGACCAGTTCTATGATTTCATTGGTGTATGAAAACTCCCTCTAGGAACCATGAATTAGAAACGGCTCTGGAATTTATAATATATGAGAATAGCCGGATACTGAGATGATAGGTGACTTGCCTAGGGTCACCAGCTAGTACCTCAGAGGCATGACTTGAACCCAGGCTTGAGGCCTCAGAGGGCCCCTCTATTCACTATCCCATGCTGCCTCTTTGGGAGCAAAACTTTTAAATGTGTCTTAAGGATTTCAATGCAAACAAACTCTTCACCTCATTTTTTTAAGTTCTTAATTTTAAGAATTTGAAGTTTCCAAGTCAAGACCAACTGCAATTAATGATATTAGATAATAGGTTTATCAAAAATGAAATTTATATTCTTTTCAGAATTTTTCCTCTTTGTTGATTCTGATTCACTGGTGGGGAACCTGTGGCCCTCTAGGTCCTCAAGTGCGGCCCTTTGACTGAATCCAAACTTCACAGAACAAATCCCCTTAACAAAAGAGGATAAAGAGGACCGGCTCTGGAGTCAGGAGGACCTGAGTTCAAATCTGGCCTCAGACACATAACACTCACTAGCTGTGTGACTCTGGGCAAGTTACTAAATCCCAATTGCCTCACCCCCCCAAAAATATATAAATAAAAAATAAAAGGGGATAAAACTTGGATTCAGTCAAAGGGCAACACTTGGGGACCTAGAGGGCCACATGTGGCCTTGAGGCCCCGGGTTCCTCACCCCTGCATCTAGGACAAGGAGCATGCCTTATACTTCACTGCCTCTCTCCCCAATGCCCAGCACAGGTCTAGGCAATTAATAGGGTACTCCATCCTGCTGACTGGTTTTTCTGATATACACCAACAGGACCAATAGTAGAATTTTAACCACTTAATACACCATTGGAAATTGGCAATATGGCTGGAGAAGTGATTGAGGAAATATATTCCAGAAAATTATATTTCCTATCTTTAAAAAAAAACAACTCATCTAATTGTCTTTAATTTCTGCCTGTCTCTATATATTAAAAATGAAGAGCAAATTTTTCTTCCAGTAAGAGCTTTATCTTTTGTCACTTTCCCCCAGTTCAAGTTCAAATTACTTATAACTACAACGGAGACTACAGGATTTTCCCTGTTCATGTGCTTCACAAATGAATTACTACCCCAAAGAGAGAAAGAACATTAGCGAAAGGCATCCAGAGGTCAGATTGGTTAGTTTTAATTAGAATATATCTTCAGACAAAGTCAGGAAGAAAAAAGGCTGAGAGCAGCTGACATCATACTTGAGGAAAACAGAAGAAAGGAGAAGTATCCCATTTATTTTACAGTTTGAAGACAAAGGCCAAGAGGCTGAAGAAACATTGGGGCTTGCTGATTTTGGAAGAAGCGCATCAGATCTTACGTGGGTCAGAAGATTTTCTATTTCTTCGGTCTGGTTGTTCCCATAGAAGCTGACCCCGCCTATCACAGAGATGGGTCTTCTTTTTCGGCATCCCCTTGGGTAACCCGAAGAAACATTTTGGTCAGAAGTGTCAGAGGAGGCCAGACTCTGTTGGTTTCCTCCATCCACACAGTCCAGTTGCTGGGTTTCCATGGCAATGGAGTCTTCAGGAATGGAGAAGCTTCTGCTTGTCAAGTGACTATAATCGGAGAGGGGCCTAGGTCGGGATCTTTTTCCAGAACCCCATCTCCTCCTTGTGACTCGAGGCGGCTCGGCCTTTTCTTCATCCTGGGAGGAAGACTTCCTCCACTGTTCATCAGTAACAACCTTTTCAAATGTGAACAAGTTAAGTGAGCTTAAATGTCTAGAGAAACGTAAAGCAAAATGAAACAACAGCTCCAGCCCACTCCCTATGCCATCAGCCCTCCTTTAAGGAACACTTGGTTTATTTTGCTTTTTTTTTTTTAGTGTGACTTGTGTACTGGAAAGTGAACACTTGACTAAGACACAAACAAAAATAAATCTGTCCAATTTTAGTTCCAAACTGAATTAAAACCATAACTTAACCTAGAGTCATTTTGCTGGAAGGACTAGCCAGTATCTGTGATAGAAAAAAAAAGTTTAAAAAAAAAAGAGCATTGATGTTAATGAAGTGCATGCTGATTGGACCATCATTTATCCCTGCCGCAGTGGCAGGCCTAAATTTCCGGAACAATAGACTAGCCGAAGGAAATATTGTTCAGCTGATAGAAGAAATGAGTTTACAATGTAATACTTTGCTATTCTGAGGTATTTTCCTATGGTAACATACAGGCTACTCTGAAACAGAAGGTGTTTTAAGAAGATCAAATCTAACACTGGCAGTGTAGCAAAGGAGATAGGGAGCTGTTCTTAAGTCAGAAAGCTTTGGGTTCAAGGCACATATTGGTTGTGTGACCCTGCAATTCTCTAAGACTATAAATTCAGAACAAAAATAATAATAATAACTCACATTTATATAGCCCTTGCTATATGCCAGGCACTGTGCCAAGCACTTTACAATTATTATTTCATTTGATCCGCACAACAACAATGGGAGGTAGGTGCTATTGTTATTCCCCTTATAAAGATAAGGAAATTGAGGGAGAGTTTAAGTGACTTGCCCAGTGTAACACAGTAAGTTCTGAGTCTGGATCTGAACTCGTCTTCCTGATCCAGGCCCAGCTCTCTCTTCCTTGCACTGCCTAGCTGCTCCAAGAAATGTTGCTGATCCACATTTCTGGAGGGAGTTTGCTCACAACCCTCTACCTGTGAAATCACAGGTGTAGACCAGAAGAGTGCAAAGCTACTTCATGGTAAATACTGAAGAATGCATTTATTAGTGGCTGCTCAAGAGCAGTGTGACTTTGGGAAGTCACTGGCCCCCAGTTTCCTCTTGCAAAATCAGGGATTTGAACTAGATGAACTCTAAGACTTCTTCCAATTCAAGATTCTATGATTCTTAGGTAATCATTTCCTAAACATGCAAAGCACTTCATTCACATCAGTTGATTTTTTTAAAGATGAGACAGAATAATTATTATTGAGGCATATGCCCTGACCTAGATTAGCCTATATAATTCAAAAGTTCATAGGTTTGCTTCTGCACATTATTTTTACTTCCCTTTAAAGTCCTGATTCCTCCTCCACGAAGTGTTAGGTCCATAGGATCAGAGATCTAAAGTTGTAAGGAACCTCAGATGCCCTGCAATCCATCCCCCTCATTTCATGGATGAGGAAATGGAGTCTTAGAGAGATTAATGGCTTGCCCAAGATTCTCACAGGTGAGAAGCAGCAGAGGTGGCATTTGAACCTGAGACCTTTGATGACAAAGTCTACAATCTTTCCCCTGCCTCTGCCTCTATCTAGAGTTAAGGCTTCACCCTTATTATAACAGGCACATTAGAGAAAAGCAAAATAAAATACGTCCTTACATTAACACCTTCTAATGCACTCATTATGTAATACTATATGTTACAGTTATCTGTACTTAGGTCATCCTCCAACAAGACCATAACCTCCAAAAGGGTATGGGGCCAGTGTAATGGAAACATTGCATTTCTCCTAGAACCTGGAATAAGGCTCTGCATAGGGTAGGCAATGAATAATTGTCTGTTCAATGAAGGGTGTTTAGACATATCTCCTACAATATGAGGGCTGAGTGGGGGTCAGCTGTATAAGAGAAGTAATGAGAGGTGGCAGCCACAATAGTGGTGAAAGGAAGACAGATTAGCACAACAAGTTTAAATAGGCATCACGCCACGTGGACACATATCACTGGCCTCCATCCTAGCACTTCTGTAGATACAAAACAGGGGTGAAAGGGCAAGAGCTATCCAGGACATAGGGGAAGGGAATAAGAGAGCAGCTAGTACGTTACATGGCAGACAGAAGGGAAGAGGGTTTACAGGAGCCCTCCCTAGGCCAGGGATTCCCCAAACTAAAGGACAGAACTGTGATAAATTTCCACATTTAGCAACCCTGACTACGTTGGGATAATGAGTGGCCCCAGAACTGAGAAGATTAAAAGATAGCACATAAACAGGGTTTACAAGTTTACCTTTCTGCTTTTTTTTCTCTTCAAAACATTAAACTTTAAAAAAAAGAACAACCACTGGTATTCAAAGGCCAGGACGGTGGAAGCCTACGCCATTTTCTCAGCGGTCATATCTTCTTATAACTTAGAAGAGAAGCTTAGAAACTCTAAAACCATCAGGAATGAAAAAGAATTGATATTTAAAACAAATGTCTGATCTTTCTTTGTACTCTGTCTCAGTCTGACATCCATATTGTGCCCTGGGTAAATCTCTCCCCAAAAGATTCTAATTTTTAGAATGGAAAAACTGAAGCAGGAAGATGAAGAGATTTGTAGGTCAATATAAAAGCTAAAAAGCACTTAGAAGTATTTATTTCATCATAACTAATATATCATGAAAAGGGATAGGGTATTGAGACTGGATTTGTTATTTCAGTGTTACAGGGACCTCCCAGGAGAGGAAATTCCCTTCACTAATGCAAGCTGACACCTTCTCTGCAATCTACAGTCTTAGAATTAGTTGCCCAGGGCAAAGAAAGGTTCAAATGACTTGTTAAAAGTAACACAGTGGGGCAGCCAGGTGGTGCAGTGGATAGAGCACCAGCCCTGGATTCAAGAGGACCTGAGTTCAAATCCGGTCCCAGACATATAACACTTACTAGCTGTGTGACCCTGGGCAAGTCACTTTAACCCTATTGCCTAGCCAAAAATAAATAAATACATACATACATACATACATACATGCATGCATGCATAAATAAATAAATAGATAAAGGTAACATAGCCAGTATGTGTCAAAAACAGGATCTGAACCTAGGTCTTCTGATTTCATTCAGCTCTCTATCCACTACAACAACTGCCTTGCATAATAATAACAAAAAAATATGGACAATAAGGTGAGGAGGAAATACTTTTAACCTCTAACAGTGTGAACTGCTCCCCACTGCCTCTATCTGTCCTGAGGCAATCCAGAAGTCAGCATCATTATTTCAATAGACATTGTTACAAAAGGTGGGCTCTTAAGAAATGGTAGAAATTTCAACCCTTTTTCTTCCCTGAAAATTATTCTTTTTTACCATTTCGGTTCAAGATTAAATCATTAGGCAGCTTGAGTAAACAGTGAGAATGAAATCAATTGCAATCATTCTAACAAAGAGTTGGAGAGAGAGAGGGAGAGAGAGAGAGAGAGAGAGAATACAGAGGCCTCAGAGATCAGATTTGGGCAAGGTCCACCAAAGCCAGCCCAAACTGATGATGAATTTCCTTTTTTCTTATTCTTATGCAAAAAGGAGCCAGATTTTCTTCACTGGAGTTGAAAAATAAGGAAATGGATTTAGGAAAACAATAGCCCAGCTTAGCTGTGCAGGTAACAAATCCTGTAGAGGACTCAAACACATTCCAGGAAATGATCTCAGCTCAGTAATGCCATGTATTCCCCAAAGCAGGGAAATCAAATACCACCACCAGCAGAGATTGGATTAATCTTTTTAATGCAATATGCCTCACATCTCAGCCATTGTCCATGCACAGGTGGCACTTAAGAAAGCCCATTTTGATGCCTCCGCCTAAACCTGCTGCTCATTCCTGTAAACTCTCAGAGTAGAACAGCAAAGGGAGATACACAGAACGGCGTCTTAGGGCCCACAGCAAGATTAATTTGCAGGAAAATACGTGTTAGGTTTAAGAGTCTGTTTAATTTCTAACCCAAGGACTGAGGGAAGAAATCTCTCAGATTTCAGTCCCGTCAGAAAGAAATTAGACCTGATAGACAAATGAGAACCTTGAACTATTTTCAAAAAGTAAACAACGTTGGCCAAGTTTATCTAGCTCAGGAAAAAAAAAAAAAGAAATAAACTACCTAAATCTAATCTCAGTGAGAAAGTCTTCTATTCTTGATTCTACTTTGAACTCCTTGGAGGGTGTCAAAGAAAAACACACAAATCTTCCCCCCAAAGAAGCCAAATTGACCTACCTCTGAGTCTGCCACTGGCAAGGGTTGTCCACATACACACTGGAAGAGCAAACAGTTGATCACAACCATATTTTTAAGAGGCTTTTAAAAAACAAAGCTCTTTTGCTTTTAAAACAATCCTATTAAGAATGGAAACAGGCCTCCTCCCATGGTTGGCTGGGTCCTTTGACAGGGTTCCTGGTAGCTCTGGGAGAAGCACAGGACAGCATAGACCCACTCAAGTAGCCAATTCACACCCAAGCCATAAACTTTTGTAAACAGCCTCTCCAGGGAGTCACTGCCCTGTTAACTCTTGCTTAACCAGTCTTAATACACTCTTCCCATTCATTTTCATTCTACTGGTCTCTGTCCACTGGAATTCTGTTCATGTTGATCATCAACTCTAGTGCCTTCCTTTAAAGCAGGGGTTCTTAACCTGGGATTCATAGACTACCCCTCAAAGGAATCCATGGACAGATTTCAGGGGAGTCCATGAACTTGGATAGCAAAAAATAGATTTTCATTTCAATATAATTGGTTTCCTTTGTAACCCTATGCATTTTATTTTGCGCATTTAAAAACATTCTTCTGCTTAGCACAGTGCCTGGCACATAGAAGAAGTTTAATAAATGATTGTTGCCTTGACTTGAGAAGGGGGCCATAGGTTTTACCAGACTTCCGAAAGGAACCATGACCCCCAAAATAGTTTAAGAACCCCTTCTTTAAAGGAAAAAAACATATGAAAAGTGATCAGGTACTTCACACAGAAAGCCTACAATCACTTATAATTCATCCCAGGAAAGTTACATAATGAAATTTTAT